GTAACGTTTTTCTCTTAAGTTCTGGATATCAGACGTGGCAATTAAGTTCTGGATATCAGACGTGGCAATAGAGAAAAACGTTACTGTTCTGGATATCAGACGTGGCAATAGACAAAACTTTACTTAGTTCTGGATATCAGACGTGGCAATATAGAAAAACGTTACTTTGTTCTGGATATCAGACGTGGCAATAGAGAAAAACGTAACTTAGTTCTGGATATCAGACGTGGCAATAGACAAAACTTTACGTAAAGTTTTGTCTATTGCCACGTCTGATATCCAAAACTTAGTAACGTTTTTGTCTATTGCCACGTCTGATGTACAGTTTGTAACTGAGAGATGTCATCAACATTTAAGACTTGACCTGTTCGTGTTTTTAACACGTTTTAAAATAATAGAGGTCATCTATAAATATATTTACTATATGTTCTTCAGAAAATGAAATAATAAAAACAGTAATAAAACCATTAATAAGTCATATCACCTCGTCTACAACATTGGCCTCTACACTCATCTGATATCCCAAGTGACTGACTGACAGGTCGAAGATGTTAGGAAAAGGGAGTTCTGAAAAACGATATAAAAATACACAATAAGACCACAATAAAATAACAATTATAAGTAAAACACGAATAGTGTAGTCTGATCTGTTTGTCGTTAAGCACAAAGATACACAAAGGGCTATCTATGCTGTGTCCACCACGAGTATCGAAACCCGGTTTTTAGCGTTATAAGTCCGCAGACTGAGCCGCTAGACGGCGCAGACGACTGCCTTAAAGATTTCGATACCTGCAAACAGTGAAATCAGCAAAAGGAATAAATTTTAAATTTACTTGTTTGTGTCTGTGCACAAAACCGTAAAGTAAAGTATATTCATAAAAATTAGATAATTCATTATTCCCCATTCTATAGTAAATGTAATACTGATAATTGTTTGTTGAATGTATTACAATCCCCATTCTATAGTAAATGTAATAATGATAATTGTTTGTTGAATGTAATGCAATCCCCATTCTATAGTAAATGTAATACTGATAATTGTTTGTTGAATGTAATGCAATCCCCATTCTATAGTAAATATAATAATGATAATTGTTTGTTAAATGTATTACAATCCCCATTCTATAGTAAATGTAATACTGATAATTGTTTGTTGAATGTAATGCAATCCCCATTCTATAGTAAATGTATTACTGATAATTGTTTGTTGAATGTAATGCAATCCCCATTCTATAGTAAATGTATTACTGATAATTGTTTGTTAAATGTATTACAATCCCC